ATGTTGCCATATCAGCAAGTGAGAACTAAACACAGAAAGCTTTATAATTAGGAGATCATAGCTCTGGTGGGATCTAAACTGGTCACATTGTTTTTCACATATTTTCTTGATTCAGTGTATGAGGAGTGACTTGCAGAATTGGCAGGTGAGTTTTGCTTGGTTTAATCTCTTGTATTTGGACTGTGTTCACCATGAGAAGAACAGGGACATTTCTGTAAATGCTACCAGTGAAACCTCTCACTCAACCTGAAGCATGCTAGATCTTTTACGCTCTTCAAGTACAGGTCTTGTTCGTCTGTGCCTAATATTCTGGACCACGTAAAACAGCTCAACATAATCAACATTTTCTAGTCACATTATAATCCAAACCAAGAGCAAATGCTCTAGTTTTATTTTGTTCCATTAGTTCTATCTCACATTGAACATTACAAATGCTGTTATGCTACACTTTAATGCCACACTTAAGCAATGGTGAGTATCATGTTATTGTATTCTTTTTCGATGGCCAAGCGGTCATTCAGCAATTCTGCTGCCAAAATGCAGCCTTGTGTGCAGTATAGATCAGTTTTGGAGACTTATAGCCTGAGCCAGAGTGCTCACTGCAGATGGAGTTGGGCAGAATATTTCACAGCCAACCTCGAGATTCAAACCACCATCAACACTTTGTTCGGTGATAGTACTCAATTCTACAGCAAGAGGCTGTAGATTCAAGGTCCACTTCAGAAATTTGAGTACAATGTCTCTGGGTCTACAGTTCATTGCTTTAGGAGTGCAATGCTATGGGAACTGCCATCTTGCTGATGATATTTTAAACCAAAACCTGGTCTGTCCTCTCATGTAAAAGATCCCATGGCATCATTTCAAAGAAAAGCAAAGTTCTCTCCTGTGTTCTGGCCAGTAGCTAACCCACCAGCCAAAATCACTAGCAATAGATTATCCAGTTTGATCACCAAGATTCTTTCTTCCTCTGTCCATCCTAGAAAAAACAACCTCGAGATTTTTAGCACTGCACTTTCAAAAATCAATTGGCCTTTGGCCAATAACTTACTTCGTGGTGATGCTACACTCTGAGGATTCAAGACAGACCGATTGAAGGGAGTGTAAAGTCAAGAACTGTCTTCAGACTTACACTTCAAAGTAACACTGTTTATTATATATTAACACTCAATATATGATAATCGTAGATATACCAGACTCTGACTAATTAGGTAAAAACTAAACTATCTTTTTGTGTGTTCATGGTGATGTCTCTGTGCTTTCAAGACTCTGTCTCATTCTAATTCTAACTCTGCCCACACTGTACTATTTATAATCAGTAGGTGCACAGCTCCGTGACACCATCGCAAGGTTGCTGCAGCTTCCTGAAGCCCTCACAAAACATGATTCATTCTAACACATTTGCAACTACCAATTTGCTAAATCCACGCCCAATCCACCATTTTTGATATGCTTATCCCTAATAACCACTTGCATTCTGTCACCCTAGTATGATAACCTATTAATGGTATTATTAAATTACACAGGGGGAGATCAGACTCTCTGATCAATAGCCTTTGCTGTTTCATTTCTTTCTCCTTGTCAGGTGAACAGCTTCCAATGCTATCCTCTGCCCTGAATCCGCATCTTTCTGTAGTTTCTTTCCTATTTTCATGACCTCTTTGAGTTCACCTTGTCCATGAGACTCATTTGCTCTTAATATTCTATTTCTACAAGACTGTTGATCAAACATGTCTTTCTTCCTTCTTCATTAACTAACTTTCTTAGCAGTTCACCATCCTTAGACACTGGCCCTCTCTTCAAAACTGCTATTCCAAAATTTTCCCTTAAAAAAAACGGGATCCACTTCATCTGTGCAAGATATAGTCTCATATCTAATGTGCTCTTTCTCTTGAAAGTCCTTAAACATGTTGTCACTTCTCAAATCCATGCCCATTTCTCCTGGAAATCCATGTTTCAGTCTCTTTGGTTAGGGTTTTATTGTTGGTGTTGTACCAAGGTCTCTCTCATCAAAGTGATAGATGACCTCCTTTGTATATGAGAGATCCATTTGGATCTGTATGCAGTCTTTGACTTGATTTGCACAACATCCACCTCCAATGCACCTCCACCATCACCCTGCTGGTGGGACTGGTCTAGTCTGGTTCCACTCATCACAAACAAAGGATCACCTCCATTGCTGACTCTTCCCACATCGACACTGTTGTGTCTCCCAAGGATATATGCTTGCCTCAGTCCTATTTCTCATCTAACTATTGCCCCTTGGTGATATTGTCCACAAGCAGTTAGTTCCCACCTACACACTGTTGCTACCTGCTTCCAGCTCACCTCTATTGCTCTTGACCCTTGTACTCATCAGATCTAATAGTGACATTTCCTCCAAATAGACATTGGGAGGCTAATGTCACAGGTTCCACTCAAACTGTTCCCTTATCACCAACTCCACTCCTCTCTTTGCTGAATATCTGAGGCTATACCAGACAGTTTGCAACCCCTGTGAATCTAAGATGAGCTTCCTACCACTTATCCCTGTTATATCACTATGAGTGTCTATTTATGCCTCTATATGGTTGCTACCTTTGACCATGCTGCAGCCTATTTGCTTACGTTACCTCTAGCCTTTACTTTTCTGACACACTCTTAGCCTCCCTCGTTTGTTTTACCCTCCACAAGTTGAGGTCCTTCGAAGCTCTGTTGTCCTCACTCACTGTGAGCCCTGTTCACTTATCTCCACTGTTCTCACTGACTTATATTAGTTCCTTGATAAGACAATGTGAATTTTACAATTCTATCCTTGTTTTCAAAACCCTTTGTTATACCCCTGCCTGTCTCCCAAATCTCTTTACTATCTTCCCCAAGATCTCTGCATTTTGTCAATTATACATTGTCAATTTTAAATAAAAACGAAAAGAATTGCAGATGCAGTAAATGAGAAGCAGAAACAGAAATTGCTGGAAAAGCTCAGCAGGTCTGGCCAGCATTTGTAAAGAGGACTCAGAGTTAACGGTTTGGGTCGCGTGACCCTTCCTGACAAGTGGGGAAGGGTCACTCAATCCAAAACATTAACTCTGATTTCTTGCCATAGATGCTGCCAGACCTGCTGAGTTTTTCCAGCAATTTCTGTTTTTGATTCCCAATTTTAATCTCTTCGTCATTAGCAGTCATGTGTTCAGCTGACTAGGCACTAAATTCTGGAATGCTTACTCTAAACCAATTTGCCTTTCTATCTTTCTTTCCCCTTAAGGCACTTGGGAAAACTTATTTCTTTAACTAAACTTATGGTCACCTGTTCTAACATCCCCTTATGTAACTTCCATCGGCAGATCATAGTTCAAGAGCCCATACGCTAAGCTCACACGCTGTTCTACAGTGATGAGGATAATATTGGGAGCATACCTCTTTAAATGTGCATTGACATGCTGTATCTGTTAAGAATCTATTGACATACTAACTGTGTATCAGTTGAGTTATGTCTCAAAGAAACTATTTCCTCCCAAGGCTGAATTGCATTGAAGGTATTGAATTTTGTTTGGTAATGTTTGCAAAGGGACTTGGAATGTTTTATTGCTTTAAAGGAGCTTGATAGATATAAGTTGTTGTTCTTGCTGCCTATGGGATCCTGCTGCAGTATTTCTTATGTTACTGACTACACTTCAAAAGCGCCTCATTGCCTGTATGGTGCTTTGGGACATTGTGAGCATGTGAAAGACACCATAGAAATTAAAGATCTTTCTACTTCTTGCTTTGATCATTTCCCTGAAGGTTTCGGACTCTCATCTGTTCTTTTTCAAATAACACTTTGAAAGACAGCCAAGTTCTCTGTCACTCCCAGTGGTTTCCCTGTGGGCGCAAGCTCCACTTAGGCTGTTTAAAGATTAATAAAGAGGAGCTAAAAAAAAATGCAAGCGGCGGATGTAACTTCTAATATATTAAAATATTCTGATTCATGCATTTATTTAGGGGCAGGAGATGGAAAATTCACAACAGGCCTAATCAGGCCTCCCCTACCATCCAGTCAAAAGCCCCATGCAAGGAGCATTCAGTGGAAAATTTATCAATTTGATTTCCGCACACAGCTGCACTCCAGGGCATCCCCCAGTTGAGTTTTATTCAGAGGTCAGTTTTACTCTGACAAAACGTCATGTTAATTGCTCCTGGTGGGATCTTTCTATGTCCAATTGGCTGCCATGTAGGGGCAACTTTTTTATACAGAGTGTGGTTCATGAGTGGAATGAACTGCCAGAGAAAGTGGTGGATGCAAATACAGTTGCAACATTTAAAAGACATTTGAATAAGTACATGAGTAGGAAAGGTTTGGAGGGATATGGACCAAGCCCAGGCAGGTGGGACTAGTTTAGTTTGGGAACATGGTCAGCATGGACTAGTTGGACGGAAGGGTCTGTTTCTATGCTGTATGACTCTGTCTGCCCACAGAGCCACAGTGTGTGCACTATTTATTCATTGACTTATTGATTACAAAACAGAACGGGGCATTGGATAGATGTAACTAATCATTGTATAATGGCAAATTCTGTTGCCAAATATTCTTCCCACATGTAGCACTTTATGCATGTCATAAAAAGTGTTTATTTCTTAGATCAATTATTTTTTTAGTTTTTGTTTAGGTGTGTGTAAAGCAAATGCAAGTGTTGGATAGTCTGTTTCTGTGCTGTGTACTACCTCATCGTGACAAAGTGATGCACAATTCTTTTGATTCCTTCCTGTCAAAGGTACAGAGGAACTGAGCCCTTTGAACCTGTTCTGTCAATCACGGCTGATCTGTGACCTCAACTCTATATATTACCTTACCTTCATATCCCTTGATATCGTTGTCCAACAGAAACCTATTGACCTCAATCTTGAAAGCTCCAATTAACCCACTATCCACAGCCTTTGTAGAGTCAGTAAGATACAATTTTCAGGTTTCTATAACCCCCATTGGGTGATTTCCCATCTAACTCATTTGCTTTAGCATTATTTCCCTTTATTGTTATTTCTCCCAGGTGACGCATTATGTCTGAGGGTCAGTGTGTCGATATATTTTCAGGAAGCACATCTGTCTACCTTCAAGGGACATCATCATGAGTTCATCGCTATATCACAGCATGTGAACCAAGGGTATAAATCAGAACACCCATTCAGTCTTTACTGAAAGAAACGCAAATCAAATTTCTGCAAATTGCCCTTTAATTTCAGTTCTCTAAGTCTTGATATTGTAGCCGCCGAAAAAAAAGTGGCCAGAAACTGTTCATTAGGAATAGAGAGTAGCTGCCCCTTCATGTGTGCTGCATTGAGATAAACCTGCTCACAAGTCCTTTGGTTCCAACAAAGGTTCACCCACCAAATCCTAGCGTCATTTAAAATGAACATACACCAAAGGAAGTGACTGAAGATTTAATTAAACAGAAATCATGCCAAGTGTCCTCTTCCTTAAAGCGGAATTCAGAAAGAGCTGGGTGCCATTCGCTGTGAAATGCAGAGAGGCATCAAGCAACCATTCTTCCTGTTTTTGTTGTAACGATAAAGGTTTATGCACACAAGTGAGCAAGAGTGGAAAAGCACTGAAGATAACAGTCCCAGATCAAGAGATGAAGACAAAATGGTTCACTCTAATGAAACTAGAAAGTGAACTCATAACTGCTGAAACTAATTATTTTTACCGTGTGTGACCTTTCATTTACCATAACTATATAATTAGGGTGTAGATGTCTTTGAAATATAAACAACATGGCTGTTTCCAGCCAAGGTTTCTTGTGGCATGAATTATTAAGTGTTCTTGTTTATTGTCTCTTTTGATAGTGCCTGAGTAATCAAAGAACTGAGATAAATCCATGAACTTTAAACCAATGTAGTGAATTATGACACAAACAAAACCTACCAAACTCTAAATGTAGCATAGTTAAGTAGAGTAAAGATCTTGGTTTAAAGCAAAAATAAATCACTGTGATTTAACAAAGTCATGGATGTTTAGGAGTATGAATTATGATGATGAAGTCCATGTGGACTTTATTGCTGAGGAAACATTAAGAGTAGCGTCACAGTCTAGCTTTGGTTCAGGGATTATGCACTCATCTCTTGGGTCAAAAGGTTTCACATTGAAGCTCCACATCAGAGACTTGTCATCCAGTGTCACCTGGATGGTATACTCAATGTTGCGTTCTGTTGTCAGAAGTGGTGTTGTCTGGATGAGATGTTAAGAGTTTCTGTCTGCCCTTGCGAATGGAAACAAAGCACATCAAGGCACTCTCTAACCTACAGCAAGGAATTCATTCCAGTGTCCTGGACAATATGCTTCTTTCAAGCAAAATCTCCAGTTTATTTATTGTTTTTACCTCATTGCAGTGTGTACATGCAAATTGGCTGCTTCCTTTCTCACGTTACATCAGAGTCTGCACCTCAAAACTACTTTAATGGCAATGAAGTACTTTGAAATGTTCTGAGGCTAAAAGATGCCATATAAATGCAAAGGGGATCAGTTAAATTGATGGACAGTTTGTGATGCAGAGTGATGCCAACTGCATGGGTTCAATTCCCACACTGGCTAAGGTGACCATGAAGGCTTCTCCTTCTCAATCCCTCTCCTCATCTGAGGTGTGACCCTCGGGTTAAAACCGTCACTAATGAGAAAGCAGCCCTATGGTCCGGTCAGACTATAATAATTTTACCTAAATGCAAATTCTTTATCCAATACAATCCTCGTTCAAAGTAATTATTTTAATGTAACGATTACCATTAGTAGTGTAAAACATACCTTTTTAATAACAATCTAGATCTTGACAAAAATTGAAGCAGCTGTTGTGGTCGGGGAAGTGAACTAACTTGCCAGCTGTGACAGAACATAAACCATCTCTGTAGAGATCAACAGCTGAACCTTTGACATCTGCATCAAACACTGAGGCATAAAATGAAGGAATGACATCAACCATCAAATTAAAATATGATGACAAGTAATAAAGCTATCATCAATGAATTCAAAGGCTTGCACTTCAACACTTATCTAGATTAAATCTAGATAAGTTTCAGAAGAGAAAACCTTTAGTTGGCAAAACAAGATTTGAGACCAAATTCAGTCACATCTTAATGGTTCTTGTACTACAATGAAATATATTTAAATGATGGATTCAGTACTTTACTGTTATTTTAATTGATCAGCTCTCTATCTACCTGTGATTGAAACCAATCCATTCAAATGTCAATGCAACGCACTCTAAGCAATTAAAGGTATTTACTTATTCAAATGACTGGAAACTGCTGCAAGCCACATTCCCAAACTCAGCAAACCTCCAAATATGATCTTGTGTTTTCCACCCATAGACCCCAAACATTAGGGTTCCATCCCTATAACTTTCCACATCCCGCTTTCACTTTAAGACTCTGCATTAAAACCACCTGGTTTGGCCAATCTTTGAACACCCCAACCTCCAGCTGTCTCTTTATGGCAGACTTCAACATCGATGAAGTACCTTGGTAGATAAAGGCAAAGTGATGTAAATTCTGGAAACCCTTAAACAATAACAGAAAATGCCAGAGAAATTCAGCAGGCCTGGCAGCATCTGTGGAGAGAGAAAGACAGAGTTAATGTTTTCGGTCTAGTGCAACTCTTAAGAAGACTTGAAATGTTAGCCATGTTTCTGTCTCCACAGATTAGGACAGATCTGCTGAGTTTTTCCAGCATTTTCTGATTTTAAGAAGCACCTTCAGAATTTTAGTCTACGTTGGGAGTCCTGAGTAGATGTCAGATGTAGCTGCCATTACTTGAACTGTTCTCTCCTTATGTTTATTGGTTTGGATTTCTTTGCTTTTTTTACTTCTTTCCAATTTGTTTCATTGATCTTCCCAACATACCTCTACCTGTCTAAGTACCCACCAACTGAAACTTGGAACAAACTGCAACATCAAAATCATCAGGGATCAAGCCACTGTTCTTTCATGTGAAAGAAGACGCCTAAACAAAAAAAGGGTCTGAAAACTAAAATGCAGTGTTACCGAACTACACAGTCCTTGGTTTAGCTGTGTTAGTAATGTCTGTCAGGCAGAAGTGACATTACGGGCATGTTACCTTTTGAACTGAGCCTTCCTCAAATTAAACAAGGGAAAGATAAGATGAACCGAGGTTCTGATTGTGATGCCATTTCAGTGACCCATGTTGGAAGGCACACAGATGAATATTGGCTGAGGTCAGTTTTATATCCATTGGTGGTAGTCAAGTAGTCTGTCAGAATTCGCTCTGTCAGCTCATATACGAGGGGATGTATTGTGAACTTGCAGTCTGGTACACAGCAACCCCTACTGAGAACACAAATCAGGGATTTGAGTGCAAAAGATCAGAGTGCCTCAACATTTTTGATCCATAATCCCACAAGCCTCTGTGTCTGGATTGCTAGTATAGGCACCCATTAAGTGCATCTCTGAGGCAGAGGTGCAAACTCAAACAAAGTATCCAACAAGGAATGGCCACTTTGGGTTAGAACTGAGAGGCACAGATCACAGGTATCGAGGCCAGGGGGGCTTGTTTTATATCACGCCTTTTTGTCATTTTATGGATTATGTTTCCCTTATCATTACACAGGCAAATTTGGCAGTCAGTTTGTACGACAGCAGATGCAAAGGATGACCATGGATGTCAGCAGAGTGCTGGCTAGGACAACTTATTATTCACTTCCAATGATAGCATGATAGCTTTTTTTTATCCATCTGTAGGGTTTTGGTTTAACAGCTCACCTCGAAAGTGCAACATTTCTTTGGTGTAGATCATGTACTGAAATTCTGGAATGAAACTTTAACACAGCTGTCAGACTCAGAGGCAAGCATGCAACCATAATGCCAAGGCTGAAATTATGAAAGCAGAATGTACAAAGGGGAAGTGCTGAATTATAAAAATCAGTCCCTCTTTGTGAAGTACTCATTAGCATTTTTCGTGCGTGTGCTTCTTAGATCCCACAGCTCTTTCTGTGGCTAATGAAGCTCAACATTGGCACAAAAGATTGGTTTGTTTTAAATGTGCTATGCAAAGTCACTTAACTGAATTTACATTGTCCAAATACCTGTATGCTTTCAGTTCCCAATCAGCACCAAGTCCCGCAGTTGTGTGCTCACACCGTCATTTAAGACTAATCGGCCCAAGCTTTCAAAATCCTTGCAACACACCTTATTTGTGGAGATGTCAACATACAATGAATTGGGTGGTGCTGTCTTTCAAAGGCATCTTGTTTCAATGTGGCAGGCAAGGGCTTGTAGGAGCATGTTTAAACATTAGACTTCCCTGAGAATATCATTAGCCACAATGTGGTGTTTCATTGTGTTACATAGAAACATAGAAGATAGGAGCAGGGGGAGGCCATTCGGCCCTCTGAGCCTGCTCCACCATTCCTCATGATCATGGCTGATTGTCCAACTCAATAGCCTAATCCTGCTTTCTCCCCATAACCTTTGATCCCATTCGCCTCTTGAATACATTCAATGTTTTGGCATCAACTACTTCCTGTGGTAATGAATTCCACAGGTTCACCACTCTGTGGGTGAAGAAATGTCTCCTCATCTCCGTCCTAAATTGTCTATCCCAAATCCTCATACTGTGATCCCTGGTTCTGGACACATCCACCATCGGGAACATCGTCCCTGCATCTACCCTGTCCAGTCCTGTCAGAATTTTATAAGTCTCTGTGATATCCCACCTCATTTGTCTGAACTCCAGTGAAAACAATCCTAACCTAGTCAATATCTCCTCATAGGTCAGTCCCACCATCCCCGGAATCAGTCTGGTAAACCTTCGCTGCACTCCTTTGTGAGCAACAGCATCCTTCCTCAGAAAAGGAGACCAAAACTGCACACAATATTCTAGGTGTAGCCTCACCAAGGGCCTGTATAACTGTGACAACACATCCCTGTTCCTATACTCGAAACGTCTCGCAAGGGTGGCCAGCATACCATTTGCCTTCTCTACCGCCTGCTGTACCTGCATGCTTACCTTCAGTGTTGCTACGGGTTTAAAGTTGCACCAGGCACATTGTTGTCAGGCAGGGTGTATCATACCAGAAACAGGTTTGTCAACTCAAAACGCACAGTTCAGTTTGCTGCTGTCAATTGGGCTCATCCTAAAGAGTACAGCCATCAGAGGGCAAGTACAGCAATAATGACTCTTTAATTTATTGTGTGCCTTTAGGTGACTCTCAGGAAAGGTACGAAGCTAGTTCGGAAGTCTCCTGTGGCTATTCCTCTCTCAAACTTCAGTGGTGCGTAAATTGTTGAAAGTGATTCTAAAAGACAGGATTTGGAGAGGCAAGGAACGATTGGGGATAGTCAGAGATAGTAGGAACTGCAGATGCTGGAGAATCTGAGATAACAGGGTGTAGAGCTGGATGAATACAGCAGGCCAAGCAGCATCATAGGAGCAGGAAGGCTGACGTTTCGGGGGATAGTCAGCATGATTTTGTGGAAGGGAAATCATGTCTCACAAACTTAATTGAGTTTTTTGAGCAAGTAGCCAAGAAGATTGGCAAGGTAGTTTAGTTTGGGATTATGGTCGACATGGATTGCTTGGATTGAAGGATCTGTTTCAGTGCTGTATGACACAATAAAGTAGAAAATGGTCCTTTAAGCATTTCACAGAAGTATAATGAAGATAATATTAGCAGATATGATCAAAAGATAATGAAAGACAGTGGGTTTTAAGGAGGGTCTAAGAGGGAAACAGCAAGGCAGATAGAATGAGTGGTACCAGATACAGTGAGGTATTAGTTT